TGTGTGTGTGTGTGTGTGTGTGTGTGTGTGTGTGTGTGTGTGTGTAGCAGTGACTGAGGAAGCAGGCAGGGATCTTTATCAATTAAATGGCTAATTATAGGGCAACAGGGGAATTCCTGTAGCAGCTGCCCTATCTTTTGCTCTCACACAACTCTGAGGATCCTAAATCCACTACACAGCTTTAACGTTTGAGTTGAAATCATAAGTTTTAAGCCCAAAGAAAATCAAACCCAGGAGAATTTTTTCCCTTGCCAGGGTGTTTGTTTGACGAACAACCTGTTTCCCCAAGACTTAATACACTGGATTCTGACAGCTTTGCAAACTGCCTACTTAATCCAATTTAGTTTAAAATCCATAAACAGCTTGGGACAGTGTTTGGAACTCAGACATTCCCACGGCCCAATTCCTATTTAGAGATTTATTTCTCTATTTAAAGTTCATGGAGGGAACGAATGATAAAGCTCTCAACGTTAATTGAGAACATGAGATATGCAAAAGAAATGCTTCCCCAAAAGGTTGTAATCATGACTATCCGTGTTATCGAGTCCCAAGATCTCAGGGCAGCTTCTTTTCCCCTCCCCCTGCCCCACTCTCCCTACTTGGGCTACAGTGGTTGTTGTGAACCAAAAGGCTGCCTTATACTATTATGGGTTAGCAAAAGTCCCTCCAGTGAGTATGAATTTTAAGTTCTTTACCCAAAAAAAGCCCTATTCAGATAGCAGCATGCCAGTTCAGTTTCTCATGCAGATGGGAAAGAAAATGAAGCCAAAATAAAGTAAACAGTGTCTCTGGGTTACATTTTTTTTCCCCCTTCAGTGCAGCTTTTCCACAGGACTTAGCCAGGGACAAAGAGACGCCGAGTAGCTCCACTTGGGAACAACAAAATCATGAAGGCAACAGGAGTCACACAACTGTTCTCTACAGGAAGCCCCCGTCTCCGGTGAGGAATAAGAAACACAACAGCCACAGGATGCGCCTTGGGTCAAGGGGACGTGAAACACCAGCTGCCTCTTGGTCCTCCTTTGTGTTCAGAGTGGATGAGCCTGTGCCTTTTAGATCCCATCTCTACAGCTGGGGGCTGAGATAGGAGCTCCCAAAGCGTGAGCAGAGGCAGCAGCCACTGGGCTGGCCCTCATTCCTTGCCGAGAGAAAGCTGGGAGCCACGATGGGTTCAACCTTGCTCCCGCTGATCCTGCTGCTGCTCTCCCAGATGCTGTTCGGCCCTAAGTCCTGGGCCGGGGCCAGCATTGAGAAGGAGGAGGAGGCAGCTGCTGTGTGCGCTGGGACTGCCTGCTACACCGCCCACTGGGGCAAGCTCAGTGCTGCTGAGGCCCAGCTGGGCTGCAAGACCAACGGGGGAAACCTGGCCACGGTGAAGAGTGAAGAAGAGGCCCAGCATATCCTAGAAGCCCTGGCCCAGCTGCCTGAGAGCGAGGCCCCAGCCCGGATGGTCAGATTCTGGATTGGGCTGCAACGGGAAAAGGGCAAGTGTATGGACCCCGATGACTCACTGAGGGGCTTCAGCTGGCTGGGAGGCGCTGAGAACACATCCTACTCCAACTGGTACAAGGACCCCACCAGCACGTGCCTCTCCAAACGTTGTGCCTCTCTTCTTGTGGATCTTTCTTCATCCTCTCTCGCTGCTGCCCACTCGATCCCCAAGTGGTCAGAAAGTCCATGCGGCACACTGGGTTTTCCAGGCAGGAACACTGAGGGCTACGTGTGCAAGTTCAGTTTCAAAGGTATGTGCCACCCTGTGGCTCTTGGGGGGCCAGGGGAGGTGACCTACAGGACACCCTTTAGGGCCACTAGCACCTCCCTGGCTGCTGTGCCTTTTGCCTCAGTAGCCAATGTGAACTGTGGGTACGAAGGTGAAAAAAGAAGTCACTACCTCGTGTGCAAGGAACGAAGCCCCAACCTGTTTGACTGGGGCACCCCAGGCCCTTTCTGTGCCTCCCCAAATCATGGCTGTGCCTTCAACAATGGTGGCTGCCAACAGGAGTGCTTAGAAGGGGGGGATGGTTCATTCCTCTGCGGCTGCCGTCCAGGATACCGTCTTCTAGATGATCTGGTGTCCTGTATCCCCCGAGACCCATGTCATCCCAACCCATGCAGGGGGAAGGCAAAGTGCAGTCCTGGAGGTCCTGGACAGCACTATGAGTGTCAATGTCCTGCAGGCTTCCAGCCCACTCCAAATAGGCTGGATTGTGATGATGTGGATGAGTGCAGCAGATCCCCATGCGCCCACAATTGCGTCAACACTCCTGGTAGCTTCCATTGCACCTGCCAACCAGGTTATGAGCCCCATGGCCATAATGGAATGAAATGCTGGGATATGGATGAATGTGCTGGTGACGGCTCCCCCTGCGCACAGCTTTGTATCAACACTGAAGGCTCTTTTCAATGTGCCTGCCAAAAGGGCTACGAGACTGCTGGGGAAGATGGGACCCAGTGCCAGGATGTGGATGAATGTGCTGAGGAGGGAAACCCCTGTGAAAGCCTCTGCTACAATGGGCCAGGTTCTTTCCTGTGCGGCTGCCGACCAGGATGGACTTTAGCACCCAATGGTGTCTCCTGCATTGCCAACCACACTGTATCAGGTCTTCCAGATGGCAGTCACCAAGAGAAGGATGAGAAGGAAGGAGAGAAGATGAATGAAATGGAGAATGAGAGAGAGGAAAAGGAGAAAGAAAAAGACAACAGTGGCTCTTCTCCCTCAGTTTTGGACTCAACCAAGAGACCTGAGGTCACCCTAGGAGCTAGCGTCCCCTATAATGTGGCACCTACGATGGGGGGACCTTCCCAGCAGACTAATCCTCCCATCACTCAAGAACCTTCCAGGCCTCCAATATTAAGTAGGAAACCAAGAATTCAGGTGATCTCCAGCATCATCCACCCCACAGTGATCGCCACCGATGGAGGATCTCAGAAAGGAGAATCCTTGGCCAATGGAAGTGATGACACTGATGATCAGAAATTGCTCCTGTTTTATATTTTGGGGACAGTAGCAGCCATCTTGCTTCTTCTGGTTATGGCCCTGGGGTTAGTGTTCTATTGCAAGAAGAAAGCAAAAAGGGCAGAGAAGAAGTCCCCTCAGAATGCAGCGGACTGCTACTCCTGGGTCCCTGAGCAGGCTGAGACCAGGGAGGTAGAAAATGAGCACAGGTAAACCCTGGCAACCTGTAGGGAGGAGATGGAGGCAAGGGAAGCCAGTAAGGGGGAGGTGGGAGGGAAATGTTCTTGTTAAGAGGCTATGAACCCCAACAGAGATCAAACTGAAGTCAGGAGACAAAGCTACCACAATCAAGGAACAATCTGTCAGAACAGTACTTTAAATTAAACTGCTAGAGACACAAGGGTATCATGGGTATTTTGATACGTGTGTATACATGTAAAGAATATATAAATGTATATACATAGCTCTTTGGGTATATGTCCACACACATAATAAGAATGAATTCCAATATCTATACTTGTATAATGGATTATGGGCATTGAGAACATTTGCCAAGACAATCTATGTTTCAGTCTATTGTCATCATTAACTTTAAGTGGCATTTAAAAATAATATATAAGTATATACATATATGTACATATATGTGTATATGCAAATATATATACACACATGCATATATATATATACATATATATATATATACATATACATATATATATATTGGCATGCTTCTCAAGTTTGGAACTGGAATTGAAGCAAACAATGGTAAACCTGTGCTCTGGGGACATTCTTTTTTTCATGTCATTTCTCTTCTTTTTAAAGCAGATGGTTTGGACTTACATCTATTTCCTATGAGTGAGCAGCATACCTAGTACCTTTAAAACCTAGGGATAAGGTTGGTGGGGAACTGGATTCTGGTACTATGGTTACATAAATGTTTCACGAATATCAACAATGAGCATCCACTGTCCCTTTTCATGTTCTGTTGGGGCTTAATTGATGTTTTTTTTCCAACCAGCATTTTTTGAAGTTGTTCATGATAGGAAAAAAAAAAGGAAGAGGCTGGGCTAGGAGAAATTATATGTTAAAAAAATTCTCTTTTAATCTTTTCATTTCTTTTTAGTAGGCTATTAGAGAAAAACCATTTGGATGACAACCATGAATTCTTTTTATAACAATGGAAATAGTCTTTCAGGTCAGATAGTTGGTATTGAAGAGTGCACTTAATTAACACTGCATATGTTACCAAATAAATGTCTTTTTTCGTGCTTGTTTTCCACGGGTTGCATATTGAAAAAACTCACTGGGATGGGCATATATAAAGTAAATTCTCTTAATAGCTAAGTCTTTAGAAGTTAGGATTCTTCTTTCCCAAGTTGTTGGCTTTAAAGCTATTCAGAAGCCTATGATTTGGGGGAGAATAACAGAAATTATTTTAAGTGAATTAAAGGTGCTATTTTTTTTTAATGTTTAACCCAAAGGTTTAAAGAAAGGCAAATAAAAAGATTCAATTAAGTAATCCAGATCTGGCTAGCTAGCTACCATGTCAGATACAGTCCCTATATCTCCAGAAAACACTGAGGCCATTTGGCAGCAGGACAAGGTCACAATTCATTAGGCTTGAACTTTATTACAGTGTTCAGTTATAGGATGAATTCAGCCAGAGGACCCATATATTGGTGAATGTGTCTTGGCAGTAGGGTTAAAGTGTCAGGAGTCCTTCATGAACATGCTCTCAAAGGGATCAAAGAAACCACTCCTTTTTGCTTGAACTCTGACTATAGCTGCCCAGATAAGTGATTCACCTGGGTGAAGAGCATTCCTTTCATACTTTATTTTTTTTTTCTCTTTCTCTTGAGCCTGAGGCCAATTTGGTTACTGAATTTAAATAATGTGTGTATGCCTGTGTGTATGTAGGGTGGGTGGGTGGATGTCAACTTCATATCTGGGACAAGAATTTATTTTGGGAAATGAGATAGGTCCCCAGGGGTTTTTCTCAAAAGTGGATGAAAGAAATGTTGGTTTCAGGTGACTGAGGGTAAAATGAACTTTCTTTCTGAAATGCTTGACTGTAAGAATGAAAACTTACATTACTGTCTTCCAGTTGCAATAACTGTATTAGATGATTTTGCTCAACTCTTTATACGGTGAAAATTTATGGGACAGAAAGTGTTCATTAGGAACTTATGAATGTATCAAAACAAAACATACTTAAAAAGTGGGTAGAAGAATGGAGAGATAACATGGTGCAAAGGAAAGGGCACACAGTTTGAGAATCAGGGAACATGAGTTTGAGTCTCAGCTCAGCTACCTACCATTTGTGTGTCTGTAAAATAAGGGTGTTGGACTAGATGAGCTCTGGGATTCATTCAGGCTCTAAATCTATGACTATGAACTTCTTTGCTACAGGTTCTCAGAAGACAAACTGGCCAGTAGCCCTGACTTAAGTGAACTATCTACAACTCATTTCTTCACCATTTCCTATCATATCTTCCATATCTGGACAGTGAGATACATAATAACTTTGTATCATAAACACATGCAGTTGATAGGAAATCATAATACCTTTGAAGAAACTGATAGCAAGATTTCAGTTTACCACTAATGAAAACATACTAATTAGTAATAGATCAAAGGTGAAAAAAAAAAAAACCACCTTCTATGGAGATATAAGAAGACAAACAAAAACCTAAAGCTTGCCTTGCTTTCTTAGCAGGTGACTATTTTCTCCAATTTTCTGTCACTATTATATAGCCAATGGAATACATTATTAGTCTTTAATTTCATAATCCCTTCATGTAACCTTGCTCAGTTGATTCCATAAGGTAGTATAAGTGATAGTATATATAGGAAATATTGAAAGTACTTTGAAATTTGTTATAAAAATAAAACAAACATATTAATTGTCATTTGTGGTGGACATTGTAGTCAGGAAGTGTTGAACAATAATGAAGTGTGGAATCAGTTGGAGGTGTAGGGTGGAGGCTCCGGCTAATCTAATGGCATAGTAGGGTTTCCTAAAGAAATTTTTGCTGCATTTCAATCTTTTAATTAAGTCGTTAATTTTGTCAATTAAAAAGACAGACATTCTGATGAAAAGCAATATCTGAAAAAATAGCTTATAAAAGAAAGCTGTCTCAAAGCAGATACAATTTATAACCATGACATTTTAAAATGAAGCAGCTGAAAAGGCTTTTTTCCATATGCCATTAGAATGTACAGAGACTTTTGCTTCTTAATGATTGCCTGCATTTTTTCTAGGCTGCATGAATATTTGTTGATATCCCTAATTATTAGGAGGAGTCATCTGAGCAATTGAAAGAGATATAATGTGTTGCCTGGGGTACCTTGGTGCCTTAGGGGAATGAATGACACTCTCTAAGACATTTCAAAGTTGTTCTCCTGCTTCTAGGAATAATATGTCTTAGCATCTCTTCACAACTTGCCCAAGAGGACTGCCTATCTTAAAGGTCAGAAACAGTCCCAAGAATCCTTGGATAGTCCATAACAAGTCAAATAAAGGGAGCTGAAAATAAAATTACATGTAGTATATTATAATGTTGATGTAAATTCCTATTTTTATTTTTCAAGAAGGAAAACTGAGGGAAAGGATAAGAAAGGAAGATTAATTTTATTTAGTGCTTCCAAAGGTAACTTGGGATGGTTTGGAGGCCACTGAGATTTCTGTTAATTTTCAGATAGGGTGGTCCAACTCCTCCAGGTTGTTGCCAGTATTTTTATTTATGTATTTATTTTTTTGGTGAGGCAACTGGGGTTAAGTGACTTGCCTAAGGTCATACAGCTAATACATGTCGAGTGTCTGGTCTGAGATTGGATTTGAACTCAGGTCCCATTGACTCCAGGGCCGGTGCTCTGTCCCCTGCACCACCTAGCTGGCCCCTGTTGCCAGTATTTTATAACTGGACTTGACAGTTGCCATAGCTATGTGGTACAATCAAATTGGCCATGGTAAAAAAGATTTTTGTCATCGATACAAAATTAATAGCTTGATAATTCAACTATTCAAAGCACTGAAATAGATGGACCAATTGCACTAGTGTCCAGATTCTGTACTCATGTTAGAAGGAACATTCAATTCAATAATTGTTTTTGCGTCACTCCAAACTCTTAATTTAAATCATATGGAAATAATAACATTCATTATACAATGAAGGAAGATTTTTCACTGAGAGTCCTATCACAATTAGTGCCTTTGATTAAGCTCCTAGAAGGTTTTGAATTTGCTGTAATGAGTTATATACTCAATTGTTATTACACACTATAATATATTCATTATTGTAAAATAATGGAATATAATACAGGACCCCCTATTTTCTGATCTTCAGGACGGTGGTTAGCCTAGCACAAACATACAGAAGGAAGCCTAAAGGTTTCTATGAGGTAAATCTAATGGTAAATCTATTTCTATTACTTGGCTAAAGAGGGACCATTGGTTTGCCCAGTAGAGTTAAAAGGAAGGGAACTAAGCAGGTAAACAGACTGCCTGGAACTCCATACATGGCTATATCCACTAGGCTTCCCTTTGAGTATTTAATAATTTCAATCTCAATGCAGGTGTCCTTCACCACGAAGTAAGTATTGGACTAACAGCCCAGAGCCTAGAAGAAATCAAGCAATTAAAAATTATGCCATGAACCTAAAATTGACTTAGTTCCTTCTACTCCTCCATTCTTTATCCATTTTCTTGGTTTCATAACAATCTGTATTTGTGTGGGAAAGCAGTGAAGTGGGGGAGGGAGATACTCTGAGACATTAACTGGCCCTGAGCAAACATATCAAAGTCTGGTATAACCATCAATCTATATTACTTTATGATTTCAAGTGATTTCAATTTAAGAAACATTTGTGAGGTGCCTACTTTGTGTAGGGCACTGGCTGTGAAAAATGAGTGGACAGACCATGGTGAACAAAGTTTTTTAGTTCTATCAAACTCCAAAGTTATTTCTGCTCTATGAACTAACACATTTTATAATCTTATTAAGTAATATTGGGTATGTTAAGGATAGATACTTGTGTCTTCTAAGCCTGATGATCCAGGGAATAGAAGGAAGAAGAGCAGAGTTGGGGAAATGACACTAGGATAGACACCAGTGAAAGGGTATATCTTGCTGACTATACAGATTTGGGGTGGAAAACTGTTGGAGGGGTTTGTGTCTATAGCTGAATCTAGTACTGCTCTGTGGCAATAAAGCAGATAATTTAAGAGGAGCAATTTTTTGCATACAGAAATATATGCCATTAATGACTACTTTAGTTTCATGTGAAAATTCTTAACTCCCCCCTACCCCATTCCTCATTTCTCCCCTTCCCCTTGGGGAGTGGGAGGGGTGGTGGAAGTTAAAAAAGCAAAAAAAAATATCTCTCATGGGCTTAGGAATGAAGGAGAACTAAGAGCAGGATAATTATATGAAGTGTCAGTTATGTTTTCTGTCATTATTATAGACTAGCAAAATGCTTTGTGGTTTCTTTTTAATTATTCTTTATAGCTCCTATATGCCCTAGTTCAACCAAATGATTTAAAGGCAAAATGGAGCCATATCTGGTTCTTGGCTTCAGTTTATCAAAGATTCAGTCATCTCAGTCTTAATTCCATGATGTTGCATGTAGTGTGT